GTTGGGTGTGAACTTGTGATCCTCCTGCCTCAGCCCGCTGGACTGCTGGGAATAATTAACGTTTCGAAACATTTTCAAAGTGGTTGTTCCATGTATGTATCTCCCAAGAAATATATAGATTTCTAATTTGTATACCTCCTTATCGGCACTTGCTTGTGTTTTTTTTTCACCATTGTTAGGGGTAAGAAGTGGTATTTCTATGGTTTTGATTTATATTTTCCTAATGCCAATGATTTTTTGTTTACTTTTGAGTTCTTTATATTGTTGAATTGTAAATTATTAGATACTAGATCTTTATCATATGTCTTACAAATTTTTGTGGTTTAACTTTTTTACTTTCTTGGTAGTAATTTTGATGCACAAAAGTTTTTAATGTTGTAGTATAATTTATCTTCTCTGTCTTGTGTTGCTTTTAGGTGCATGGACTATGTTAGGTGTATATTAATGGAGTAATCTGGTAGACAGATGGTAGTGGTTTAGTCCTTGTTAGTAGAAGTGAAAACAGAAATATGTGAACAGTTGGAATATATTTTTATGATAAAATGACAACTATATATATTGCTTATTAAGTGCTAGGCATTGTTTTCAAGTCTTCTACATATTAATTCATTAGAACTAACAACCCTGTGAAATTTATTATGGCCTTTATTTTTGTGAATGAAAAGCTCTCAGAGTTATTAACTTACTTTCTCATGAGCGTGTAGGCAACTAAGTATAGACATACTTACTAGCAGATTCCACCTCAAAGGAAAGCATACGTAATGTGTAGGGCATTGTATTTATAGCACTATTTCCTTAGGTTTTCACTGCCTTTATACTAACATTCTTTGTTAGACTGCTTCGCATATCAAATTAACTATTTTAATGTAATCTGTTATAAAGTTATGTGTCCATGCACATTTACTTGTGTTTTTATTATATGTTTAAATGGATGTTATAAACCCATTTATGTGTTTAGAGATGCTTAGGAAAATATATTTGAAGATATTGAGAAACAGTTGTCTCTGTGTAGTTTGGATTTATGTGCATGTACTTTTGCACACTTAGATAATTTCTGAAATAATTATGTGTTACCATGTTGAATTTAACTGTATTCACTTTGAATACCAAATGAAACCAATGTCTGCAGTCAAATTTTTAAATTACTTTCATTGTGTTGATCTCGTGTTCCTAATTCTTGTCACGTGTGGATTCTTCTTTTAGCAAGGACATATTTTTTTTTTCTTTGTACTATGTTGAATCTTCTAAACCATAGCAACACTAATTTTTAACCTTTACTCTTTGTTGATTTTGATGTTAGATTTATGAGGCTTTTTCTACTTGGAGTTTTTTTTACTACAATGTAGATGGTATAATGTGAGTCAGCAAACTATAGTCTATTGGCCTTTGGCTATTTGTTATATACAGTACTGTCTACCTGAAATATTCTTATAGATGGATTTTGCCATGTAATGACACTAATTTTGGACCTCAGTTAATCAAAATATTATCATCCCACAATTAATCTCATTGTTGTTACTAAGTTATGTGTTACAAAAATATTATAGTGAATTTGTTATATTTTTGAATTGTATCAGTAAAAATTTTCATATAATTTTTCTCTTTTCATTGTATTTACATATGATACCTTTAGCTTTGGGGCTTTCTTGCCTGAAAAGCCTAAAGTTTTAATCTGCCTAACTGTAGGAAAAGTTTACCACCCTCAGTTCAAATTTGCCAGTCCCAGTCCTTAAAGAAATCCACACTGGTCTTGTGCCCACAGACAGCATTGCTTCAGTTTAGTAGCATTTTAAAAGGTGGCTCACAGATACTGTATCCTTTGCTACCCCAAACAGCTGAGTTACAGAGTACATAGTGTTTTTAAAAATAGGTTATAGAAATATATTTGTTTCCTAATGTTGAGAGCATGATTTTGGAGAGTGAGAAGAACATATAGGTGTTTATCTCCTGTGTATCTAAATGCCTACTCTATACATGATAAATGTTATTTGCCATTATATTTACTACCACTGTACAACGTTGTGAGATACTTTCATAGACTTCTGCTGTTTTTTTTAAATGAGAACATGTTACAAATGCCATGACTTTTAATAGTGTATGGGAAACCACCCAGCTAGCTGATTAGTACCAACCACTGTCATCCTGTGGGGAGATGCTATCCTCTGTAATGTTATTTCGAGGATTTAGTTTCGCTAGTTCGCTGACAGCTCGTATTTAGCACCCCTTCTCTATTTGTTCATGTGTACTGACATGTCTTCAAGGTCATGCAGTGGAATCCCTTTTTTAATAGTTTTCTAAGCAGCATTAGGCGGAATTCTATCTTCTTGTTAATGCCACCTCGTATCACACGTAGTCTTAAAATGAAAGACTTTCATTGATATACATGTTTTCATTTATATAAATGTTTTAAAAATGATTTTGGAAAACATTGTGGATGGATTATAAATTACTAAATAAGCATAATGATGTTTTTCTTTATTTGATTCTCTCAGGTAGAATTACATTTGATATTATGATTTTCTGTTACTGTATATCTTGAAGTTTCTGTTGCTCATATTTTTCATTTGCACCTCTCTCTACTACCATTTTTGCTCTTTTTTAAATAGGCTCTTTAATCCATTTAGAAAAGTCGGTTAAGCTGAATATTATTATAAGCAGACTGTAGAGGTTAAAGCAATGTGGAACAGTTTTTTTTCTGAGATGCTATAATTGTTGGGAGTTAAATTTGTCAGCTTTCCTCTAGCCTTTCATTTGAACATTGTTGTATCATTTTGATATGTGACAGTAACCTAGAAGCGTGTGGCTGAACTTTTGGTTTATCCATTGCTAATGTTTTTCATAGCTGTAGAATCACAGTGAAGTTATCTTGTCTTACTGTATGATACATTTTTTCAAGAGGTTTCAGACTCCTTTCTATACTTGTGCTTTGATGATTACATACAGCTTTTGTTTGCAGTAAATATATGAGATACTAATTAAGATTTTAATGAATATAGACTTATTTGAAGATCTGATATACTGAATGTTTTTCCCTAACGGCTTGAGAAATTTTACTTAATTCAAGTTGTTATAATGAAAGTTAATATACATCACCGGCATATATGTGTATCCACATGGATACATAGTTTTCATGTTAAATTCCAGTCCCAGATATCCTTATACTACTATGATTTTCCTTGTCTGGATTCCCCTTTACTTCTTCCTTAAACTTCTTTATTTGACAGTTGTGATAGAAAATTAATGTAAGTCAGTTTAGGAAACCTTCTAAGTGTTTGTGGCCCCCATCCATTGAAAGCTATGTGTGCGATACATAGGATGGGCCGATGGATATAGCTGGTGGTAGAGTGCATGCCAAGTATGCATGGAACGTTGGTCGGGTTCCCAGCACATGCACCCCTCCTTAGAGCAACAACCAATGTTACTTGACTTTCATTTTATGAAAAAAGTAAATGAAGTTATTTTTGCTCAAGTGTTTACCTTTAGACTGATATAATGGTAGAGATAGTAAATTAAAATTGCTACTTCAGATACCAGAGAACTTAATTCAGTGTATAAATGTAAAACTAATTAGTGGTTGATTTTTCCCTAGATCAAATCTGTGAGCAGCCGGTTGCTTTTGTAAAGTCTCCTAGACCTCGTAATGTGACTGTATTCATTCATTTTTTTAGTTTCTGTTTGTAGTGGCAGTGCAAGGGCAGAGCTGCATGGGCACAATAGACAGTAGAGATAATATATCATGCACAGCCCAGGGGCACCTATCGAAAGAGTTGCTGAACTCTGCCAAAATGTGAATGTCATCTTTGTCGTCATGCTAGTTGATGTTTGGGAGCATGTGTTGAGAGTGTTTTAGTACCTTCTTTCTTCTGCATCTCATCACTTTTCAGGGTGTTTATCCCTGAATGTTTAAGTCAGTTCCTAACTTTCCTAGACCTACCCACATCCCGACCACCATTCTGCTCCTCCATGTTGTACTTGCAGAATCATTTTTCCAAAGTTGAAATCTCATTCCAGTATTTTTTACGTAAAATCCAAACACTGCCGGCTTTTTGCTGGCTTCTATGGAGCTTCTGACATCCTGAAGAACTTGTATTAGTACATAAAATGGAATATCTAAGTAGGTCCAAATTAGAGTGGCTTGAGTATCATACTTAAAACCAAATTCCAGGCTGAGTGCAGTGGCACATCTCAGTAACATCAACTCTGGAGGCCGAGGCAGGAGGCTCACGAGATCATGGCCAGGCAGGACAACTCACTGAGACTATCTCAAAGTGAAAGCAAAGCAGAACAAAACTCAAAGGAAATAAACTGACAAAAAGCACATGTAAATTTCTCAGTCCAGGGGTATTCTAAGAATGTTTTTTGTGTAATTATTCTTTATGCTCTAGGTCACTATCTCCTAGTGAGGCAGTTTGTTATTTCCTTTCTTTGTTGTTGCAACTGTGGCTGTATACTTCAAAGTTATTTCACATCCTCTATAATACAATATATATTATAATAAATTTCTTACGTCTTAGCTTTCTATTAAGCTGAAGTCACATGGATTTCTTTTTTTTTATTTTGTGTTCCAAGTATTTTGCATGGTGTGTAATTAGTATTTAAGTAAATGATTGAATTAATAAAACTTTCACTATATTGTATAACTTTTAAGTTTTTAATCATTCTATGCTTCTTAGAAAGCCTTTTAGGAAATAAGCCTGACTCGTAATTTTTTGTTATAACTCTGTAAGGTGTCAGATGCATAGATCCTGTTTTCTAACTTGGGATTTCATGTAAGGAACAAAAGTCCCTTCTCTAAATTTTGTAGATCCCTGTGATGTGGAGTTTTGATCACCTTTCATTGTGGAAGCCCTAGGTGTAAAACAAATTTTTTGTGATTTACTACCTATTATTATGTAAATTACAGAATTGAGACATCATTTCTATTAGTATTTGGTGATATGTGATTCTCTTAGCGAAATCCACATAATTTCAGCTGTTTTTGTATCTTATCTCGTCCCTAGGTTCAGGACATCTGCTTCAGCCATGACTGTCGCTGGGTTGTGGTCAGTACCCTCCGAGGTACTTCCCATGTTTTCCCCATCAACCCTTATGGTGGCCAGCCTTGTGTTCGTACTCACATGTCACCACGAGTAGTGAATCGCATGAGCCGTTTCCAGAAAAGTGCTGGGCTGGAAGAGATTGAACAAGAACTGACGTCTAAGCAAGGAGGTCGCTGTAGCCCTGTTCCAGGTCTCTCCAGCAGCCCTTCTGGCTCACCCCTGCATGGTAAACATAATTTCTGTCTCTCCACTGCTCCCTTCAATCTGCCTTGACTGTGTTTTTAATTTTAGGGAGCTAAGGTACAATAAAAATTTTGTAGTCTGTTCATAGAGTAACATGATCTTCAACTCATTTAAAACATTCTTATTTATTAAATCATTAAAGAACTTCAGCCAGTATAATAATGATGATCTTTACCATGCTCCCTAACTAGGGAAATAAGGGGCATTTGGCATCATATTTATATAATTTGAATCTACTTCCTTAACTTTACAGAACTAATCTGCATTTCCACATCTGTCTTCAGAACTTTCTGTAATGGGCCAGTACTATAGTTCATTAAGAAATATTCATTGTTGCAAAAAAAAAAAAAAAACAGTCAATAGTCATGTATTCTTTAGATAGAGCATTCGTTATATTTTATTTTAAAGTACACTCTTTGAGATTTATGCCAGTATGTGGAAAGAGAAGTAAAGGGGTATCTCAGAAATTTATCCTAGGGCAGTTACGTAACCCTTATGGCGGTCTGTAAATAGAGCCTTATTGAAGTCTCTTTTCCGTACCCCTACTCTTTAATTGTAATGAAACCATGATTCAGAGTTTTATGATATCTACTTCCTAAGTTTTTATAAATAGTTCTATTTCTGAGGAAGTATCTTAAATGTTATTTTAAAATTTATGTAAATGGAATTGTAGAATATTTATATCCTGGTACATTTTTATTCATGTTGTTACAGGTAGATTTAGCCCATTTGTTGTTTACATAAATGTTCTATGTGGAGAAAAATTAGTTTAGTCAATACTGAAAACCATTTGAGGTGCCTCTGACCTATTTTGTTTTTTGAGGCAGTGTTTACAATTTCTTATTCTTTTGTGCACATCTTCTTCTATTCATTTATCCTAATATTGTTCATGTACATTTGTATGCTTTCTGGTTTGAAGTTTTTCTAATGATTTTCAATTAAATTTTTTTTACTATTTCTTGGTAGAAATATTTACTTATTTTTGAGTGAAAATTCTGAGTCATTATATTTGTTAATCTTAACCTTTATAAATAGCACCAGAGTGGTTATACCGTTTCATTTCTAGCGAAATGCCTTAAAATGTGGGCATTGGGTTGCCCTTTTTTCTGAGTATTACATATTCCTTTTCATGCTAACCATGTTAGGTAAGTTTTCAAGACTGAGGCGTTGTTCCCAGGCATTGTGGCACACACTGTCATCCCATCTCCTTTAGGTGGCTAAGGTGGAAGGCTGGCAAGTTCAAGACCAGCATGGGTAATTTATTAAGCCTTTACCTCAAAACATAAAGAGAGACACTGATAAATTAAGAAGGACGTTTAGCTTCCCATTGGTGTATCGTCAGAGAAATTCTCTCCCGTGCCTTTTTCCCCCCATTCTTCCTTTTTCATAAGCAAACCCCGTAACAGCTTTGGCCCTAGGCTTTGGGCACAGTGTGCACCAAAAGTTGAAGTCATTCCTGCCCTCATCATTCTTCTACTCCAAGAGAAAGACAGACATTAAATAAGCATACACAAGTACCTTTTAGTATGTTTTGATAAAGGTTGCAGAATACCAACCAGTGATGGACTGTATCATTTGCAAAAGGACAGAAGTTAAAGAATAATGCTAGCTTTCTAAATCAAAGAATAATCTTCTCTGCCAGCTTTGTTGGTTTCATTGCTTTCATAATTTTATAGAAATTTCAAAAAAGGCATTCCACACTCTTTAACAGTACTCAAAATTTTGTTTTGTAAAGCAGGAATTTTTACTCTGAGAATTTTACCATCGTGTGTACAGATTTTCTCATTTTGGAAGCACAAACAATAGAGTGACAGTCATTTTTCTTTGAATTCTTTTTGTGTCTTACATGTCATAACAAAATGAGCATTGTTGTTGGTTAGTTCTAAAAATGACATATTTACAAGTTTATGTGAGTAAACAGTTTGATGCTGGTAAAAACAATGTAACCCTTTGAACAGGGAGGGAGTCATCTTGAAAATTAATCATGCTTTGTCGGTAATACTGTTGTTGTCTGTGCTCTTTTTAGCAAAGTAAAGGAAACTGTTAAATAACAATTGACATAGGGATATTTCCTTTTTACTTTTTGGAGGCAGTCCAGTTTAGGTTAGGATTATTTTATCTATCTGCCTTTTTTCCAGAGGATGTTTATTTATTCGAAATACATTCTTTCTAAATATCTCTTTCATTTCCTAGCTTGTTGCCATGACCTTATTGTAGATGAGGAGTTCTTAAATTGAAATTCATGGACAGGGATAGGAAAGAAAATTCAGTCTGTATATCCACTACCGTTTAACCAAAAGTAAGCATTACTTTTCATTATGAGTATAGAAAACATATGCTAATAATATTAGTAGTACTTGTGACATTGTTACCAATGGAAAACACAGATGTTTTCAGATCACACTATATATGTAATAATATATGTCTTGAATTATTGAATATTTCTTCAAGTATTATGCCCATCATTGCCTTGAAATTATTACATATGATTGTAATATTAAGCTGAATTTGTTATGTATATCACTATGCCACATTTTAGCTATTTTAATATAATCATTTCCATTTTAATTATGCATATTATATTTCATGCATTTATAACTGTTATTCAGAAAAGGAATTTACGAACTTCACTGTCCAAGTAGCTCATGATGCAACAATGATTGTGAATCTGTGATGATGAAGTTTTCCTATCATGCCACAAACATTTCCTGTTAACCTTAGGATATACTAGTTTTGTACTTAAAATCATTGTGTCTCACGGTACTGCTAGGACATTAGAGAATGTCTCATCTTACTTCCATTTTGCTCCACTGTACCTAGATGTCTGTACCTTGCTATGAATATGCTACATGTGTTCTTTTTTTTTCTTTCTTGTGTGTAAACTTTTCTGGAAATAATTTTTAGGCTTTTGAATGCCTACTCAGCTAGCTAAAATATCACTTAATCCCTTAAGTCTTCTCATAATGTTGTATAATGTGTAAACTTGGTATTGGTATCTTGTATATACTTTTATCTTACGGTAATACGAGAATTATTCATGTCTGCACCTCCTATTATATTGACCTCCATAACGACAGAGACTTATCTTGGTATTTATCTTGGCACCTTACATATTAGTTGATAAAATGTAGATTCTAAGCCTTTAACCATCTTTAGATGTTGTTTTAAGAAAAGCAAGTGGGATTTAAATCATTATTTGCCAGAATGAAGAAATTTTCAATCATGTTGACTCTGCTTTTTAGTTTAATACATGTAAGGTATAGTCATTCGGTTAGCCACGATGAATTACTGTTTATTATGTTTAGGGACTGTTTTGAGCTCTAGAAATTGAACAGAAGTGAACAAAAGTGGGAAATGTCCTTGTTCCTGTGCCCTATGAAGAAAAGGAGAGTAGTGAAACTACTTAGTAGAGTATTGCACAAGTAGAAGATTAGTTCAGAGCAGGTTATTTATAGTGAATTTGTCTGAAGTTACTGGATTCTTGATTTCCTTTTTATGGTAGGACCACCAGTGTTTCTTGTTTGTTTTATGATCAAGACAGATGAGTCAGGGTGAGTAGCAAGGCTTTTTTTGCCTGAGTAACTGAAAGAGTAGGGTTGCCATGAGCTGAAATAAAGAATCCTGTGAGTAAATCAGATTCGTGGATCGGGACAGGATAATTACTTTGTGACTTGTTAAGTGTAAGTTGTATCTTTGGCCTCTACCGGTGTTGGTTATCTGTGCCTGAGGTTCACTGGAAAGCATTCATTTATGTGGAAATAAATGTTTGGAAGGCATAGATGATCTGATGAATGATTATAAACGAGAGGTGTCCCAGAACTGAGCCCTGGGGCTCTCCAAGTAGCCAGTGATGTAAAAAGCATACATAAGAAGTCTTAGGGATGAAATAGCTTTTTTGCAGGGGTGTGGGGAGAAGGGAATAATGAATGTGTTAAGTTATACTTACAGGTCAGTGAAGGCAAGAAGTAAGAGAATGACAGCATTAAATTTTTCGCGGAGACATAGGACTTTTATTTATAACAGTTTGGGTGGAGTAGAGGAGGCATCATTTGAGAGGATTTTAATAGGAAAGGGAATTGGCTGAGGTATACGCTTTCCCCGTCTGAGACTGTTTATAGCCTTCATTTGATGGTTTATAGTAATTATTTATTTTTGTTGATCGGGAGTTTTCTACAAATAGACCACATTGTAATTGTAAATACAAAGCAGCCGCGCACTGCAGCCTTACATGATTTCACCTACTTAAGAGAATCAGTAATAATGTGATGCTTCTTGACTTCTCTTTTCACATCATTGTTTACTTGTGGACTGAAGTTTCCATGAGTATGTTTTAATTTTTGCCAAGGAAAATCAATCATATGCACTGTAGCTCTGCTTTAAATTTTATGCCTCATATGACATAGAATATATAAATAGTGTATACATGTTAAATGGGGGGAAATCTTCTTTTAGGATAGTTTTTAGTACCTAGGATTTTGCTGATTCTATGGATTTCATTGTTTTAGCTCAGATGCAGTCTTATTTCCAATCTGTTGTTTTAAAACGTTTTAAAATTTTCTTGGTGAATCTATTTTCTTCTTATACTTTCTGTTATCTTTTTAAAAGTTCTGACATTTAGTAAACGCCATGGTCTTACGTATTTTTAAATATCTTTCATGACATTTGCTGTAGTTTCTTGGAAATAGAAGAGTTCTATAGAAGCAACAGAAAGTGTAAGGAAAAGAGTGGCCTTTCTGAAAATAAGATTTCTTTGTTAGGAATGACTAATTGGAGAAGCTATCTATTAAAAAAGATAGTGTAACCATTGTTTTTAAATAGATATTGATGTTTAGGAAAGCTTCGGTTTCTTAGCAAAATTGATAGTATAGTTACCATCGTTCTGGGAGAACATTAGATAATCTTTTTAAAACTCCAGCTATTATAATACCTATAAGTTACACTTTAAAATTACAATATTCTAAAGTATATTTTTAAACTTAGTTC